AAAAAAAATGATTTTTTGAGCTGGCACCCCACTTTTCGAAAATCGAACATTCTGATACCGCAATAGATTGTTCTAGTTGTTCCAAACATTGTTCCAAAAGGACAAATCCGTAAGTTGAATTATAAGTCCAAAAAATGAAAAAAATGTTTTTGACCTGGCACCCCATTTTTTGAAAATAAAGCATTCCGATACCGATATAGATTGTTCTAGTTGTTCCAAACATTGTTCCAAAAGCACAAATCAATAAGTTTAATTATAAGCCCGAAAAATTAAAAAAAAGTTTTTTGACACAGTCAATCGGACCAAGAGTAAACTTATACTATCTTTTTTGTTCCAATCAAGATCTTTTCTTCTGAGTTGTTCTAGGCTTAAGAATTATAGTTCTAGAGTATGAGACTCATAAGATCATTCGTTCTCCGAAAATTCGTAAAAAAATCGATTTGACAGTACTCGACGTCAAGAGTAAACACATGCTTCCTTTCTTGTTCCAACCGAGATCTTTTTGTTCTGAGTTGTGCTAGGCTTAAGAATTATAGTTTTAGAGTATGAGACTCGTAGCGTCATCCGTTCTCCGAAAATTCGAAAAAAAATCGATTTGACAGCACCCGACGTCAAGAGAAAACACATGCTTCCTTTCTTGTTCCAACTGAGATCTTTTTGTTCTGAGTTATACTAGGCTTAAACGACGAAGCAATTTCACTTTATTTTGTCATGACATTTTGTAATTATTTCCGCCAATTTTCCTATAATAAAGATTAATTTTTGTAAGAAATCATCTTTTTCTTGAATTTTTGTCACCTCAGAAATATATTTCAATCATCCTTATTTTCAATCATCCAAATAATTATACTTTTTTAAATCAGTATATAGAACTTTTTTTTTTAAGAAAATAGTTTCATCTAAAAAAACCTGAAAATATTTTTGTTAATTTTAATATGTTGTTAAGTTATGAATTTTTTTTACGAAATTACATTTTTTGTCGATTTCGGCAAATTTAAATTGTTATTGCAAAAAATTGTTAATAAATGACTAAAGTAACTATTGGAACATAAAATATAATCTCTCTAGAGTATCCCAGAATTTTTTCAGAGTTTTTAGATGAGTTTAACAAAAAAATGTTACTTAAAGTATTTTCAGGTGTTTTTAGATAAAGTATCCAGTAAAGGACTTAAAGTATTTTCAGGTGTTTTTAGATGAAACTATTTTCTTAAAAAAAAAAGTTCTATATACTGATTTAAAAAAGTATAATTATTTGGATGATTGAAAATAAGGATGATTGAAATATATTTCTGAGGTGACAAAAATTCAAGAAAAAGATGATTTCTTACAAAAATTAATCTTTATTATAGGAAAATTGGCGGAAATAATTACAAAATGTCATGACAAAATAAAGTGAAATTGCTTCGTCGTTTAAGCCTAGTATAACACAGAACAAAAAGATCTCAGTTGGAACTAGAAAGGAAGCATGTGTTTTCTCTTGACGTCGGGCGCTGTCAAATCGATTTTTTTTCGAAT